TCTCCGTTTTAGATAAATTTTAAATAATGTCTCACTAACTCTCTGCTTGTAGAGGTATATGCACAACGATAACAAAATGTGGTACACACATACCATAAATCTTCAAACTGACACAGCTGTTACGACCAATACATTGAGCTCTACTGTGATTTGATTTACGTACACATCGTACTCTTATCGTGTATAAATCTACGGTACTCTGTAACTATAGTGGCATTCCTGTAACTCAAGAACTATAATACTTAGGGGCTTCTATCTTTGTGTGATTATAGTTCTCACTGCCTGCTGATCAGTCCGTAAGTTTAAGCCTCTTTGATAAAATGGTTCGCAAGATATAAACTGTCCATTTCTTTCCAGTAAAATACGAAGAACGCCTAACGAGGGACCTTTTCCAACTGTCTAATCGTTTTCTGGTCGAAACCTAGTGAATTATAGGTTATCGACCACGCTGATTCCGAATATCCATATGAGACGGGCCGCTAGGCCTTTCTAGCCCGGTTTTCCAAAATCCTCGAAAAGTCCGTAAAACTTTCTCTGAATAGATCACGATTGTAGCCTACGAAATTCTGATAAAAATGAGACATCTCCCACCTCAAAATGACCTTTCTTTGCGAAGTTATAGAATTTACAAGAAAAGTCCTAAATGCTCATTGTCGGCTTAAAGCTACAGAAATAAGAAAAAATTAATTTAGGGCTTTTCTTGTAAATCCTATAACTTTGCAAAGAAAGATCATGTTGAGGTGCGAGATGTCTCATTTTTATCAGAATTTCGTGGGCTACAATCGTGATCTATTCAGAGAAAGTTTTACGGACTTTTCGAGGTTTCTGGAAAACCGCTCTAGAAAGGCCTAGCGGGCCGTCTCATATGGATATTCGGAATCAGCGTGGTCGATAACCTATAACTCACTAGGCTTCGACCAGAAGGTTAGACAGTTGGAAAAGATCCGTCATAAGCCTACAGAAATAAAAACTTTTTCTTTACAAGACACTCTGTAATATCTACAGACTATTCAACTCAACTATTACATAGTGCTGAAAATTCATTGAGAATGTGTAAAAACTACTGAAATATAAGAGAGAACACAAGCTGGAGAAACTAAGGATCATCAATTCTACCAAACAGTCAGCATTCAATGTTCAATGCCATTACGAAAAAGTATATTCATGGAAACCTAACACGACAAAAAAAACATAGGTAAAACTTTTCCCGGAAGATTACATGCACACTCCTCACTCTCACCACTTCACTAGTTTTGCAAGCGTCTCACTTTCCATACATTCTCAAGCAAAATTATTAATATATTTGTGATCGGATTATATACGCAAATACGTGGATATCTGTTTATTTAACCAGGTTTTCCTTGCCATATATGAATTATATTCTCTCTATTCTTTGGCACATATATAGATAAATTTTTTATTATTTGTGTACATTTACATGCTAGTCAAATTTTTACAAACCTGTGAAGAATTTTTCTGTGGATGCAGGTAGGTGTAAAAATGCAAATTCATTTCAGGATAACGACGTCATTGAATTAACGATAGCTGCAATTTGTAAAAATTTCTTGAACAAGGTGTAATCAGACTGCTTGTGTCACTCAAAGAGCAGGAAATTCATGCTGCTGTAGGCATTTAAATGGCTGAAATCGAATCAAATCATTCATTTAATGTCGTTTCAGTAGATTTCAGTTGCGAGAACTTTCTCATAATTATTGACCAACTGTGCCTTGTCTGTTTTGACAATGAATTTATTAAGTTCTCAATGCATCCTTTCGGATAGAGATGTGTACGGATACCGTTTTCCGATCCGTACCTGACCCCAAAATTTTTCACCCATACCCGACTTATGCCTAAAAATTTTCTCTATTTCGGTTCCAGCTAAAATCTTTTGTTTTTCAGCTGGAGATGTCAAGTTACATTACGTTCTCAAGTAACTCTTTTGAAACTTAATATAGTCTAGCTAAAATCTTGTATTTTTCACTAAAATTTTGTCGTTTTCCACAAAAACCTTCCAGGTTTCGGGTCGGGTTGCACATCTCTACTTTCGGATCACTTTTTTGTTATGAGCGGCATAGACTAGAAAATAGAAATGAATTAAAACTCTCTCTAAAACTTAAAGAACGATGACATGAGAAGGGGAAAGGCTCCTATGTTTATACTGACACTGTTTGGCCAGGTTGAAAATTTCTTGATTTAGAGCCCTTCACTACACAAGACATTCCGGCTTAACGTCTTTCAGATAATCAACTAATAATTGTAACTAACATATATCGTAGATTCGGACTGAACGTGCCGAATTCCATCAGAATCTATATCTGAAAGAGTCTAATTTGGTCTGAGACAGATTCCACCTTGTCTTGCTAGAGACCCATAATTCGATTCGAACTAGACTCGACCCCAGGATCGGATCTAACGTTTGGATTACGTTTTCTTAACCCGTGTGTTTATCCAATCCATATCGCCGAAGAAAAAGTTGTGACCACATTCGAGCGACTTAACCGACCTGAAATCATCATTTCTTCTTGGAGAACACCAAAAATCATCAGAAATGGACAATTTCTCATGCGAATGCTGGATCTGTCGTAAAAAGCATGTTTTGACTCTCCCAAGGTTATCCTCTGCGTTCCTGAACAATTTTATTTAACTATGCGTTGTGAGTAAGGGTCTCTTTAACAAATGACCTACATATCTAGAGAAAAGCTTTATTTTTTAGATTAATTAAGCCTTGTATTCAACATAATATTTGTGATTTACATGTGAATTTAATAAAATAGAATTCAATAATTTTTGGGAAACGTTTTGAAACGTATGAAGAGTAACATACATGCATGACATCTTTGAACTTCTTTTGATTTCTTTGAGTATCGACCAATAGAAAGTACTCATCGAGTCTGCTTTTCTCTGACTTCTGATTCCCTCCTTTCTTCCCATATAATATAATAGTGCAGCCCACCGCAACGTTTTCAGAAATCCAAAGAAGGAAGTCTTTGTTTGTGCCGTAACTGTTATAAAAGGTACATCTTATCAATCGCGTTTTTCAAACGTAATCGAAGTGTACGAAATAAGAGACGTGTTTTTTCATCAGACATACACTAGCTATTTGCAGATAAAAGAAGTAGAAGTAATTGAATAGGATATGTTAGACATTACGATAAACGTAGCCCATGTTGGTACCAGCGACTTGTACCAGACTTCCATGCCTTGAGTAACTGAGCAGCACAGTGTCAATAAATCGAAAGAGTAATTTTCAAGTTCTACTTTGAAAGAATATATTTAATTAAACATATTCAAAAGTTTAAATCAAAAGTTTTTTCTGTTTCAAACGCTAAGTTCCTACTCTCTTAATCTTTAAAAATAATGAAAAGCTGGAAATATAAGTTTTATGGTATTCAAATTAGTTTTTTGTAGTTCTAGGATGTTATTGTTCTGTTTTAGGTTATATTGACAGACTGATACAATAACCTTACATATCTCTACAGACAATCTACATCTGAGCAGGCATTAGAAGATTGACTTTACAACGAAATGAAAAAGTTTTCGTTGAGAAAAATCGAGAAAAGAAACTTTTTTGGTGTTACACACGTTAAGAGGCGACACATCGGAGAGGCATCATTAAGCACTTCTGATTGGACCAATCGATGCTACAAGGGCATAGAGACAAAGACCAGGAACAAAGAAATTTACTAACAATGGCATATAGAAAGAAAACCATTCTACAAATATCTATGAGAAGATAGACGAGCCATTGAACAATACAGAACTTCACTCTTCTCACTCAGTTAGAATACTGAATTTTAGGGTAAATGCGAGTGAAATCAATCATGCGAAAAGAGTTTTTAATTTTCGACATTTTCTTCACATTTTACTATTTGGAGTTCGTTTTATTCCCTTTGTTCGAAACGTGATATATTCTTTTTAGCTGGTATAATCAGGTACTCGTAATTTGATGATTGCTAAACAGATGACTTCAGTCGATTATCACTCAGTCCCCATGTTTTTCCTTTTACTGGCCTATTTTCATAACAGGCCATCTTCACGGATTTAGATTGATTTCATAAATATCTTTTTATTGAAATTCTGTTGATGTAGTTGTTGAGATAATGTTTTATTCGTTGTTGTTCTACTTATCTATAAGCATTGGAATCGTGTAAAGCTCTTCAGTTTCGACAAAGATGACGGAAAGAATTGTGAATTTAAATAAGATTAGGTGTCAGTCTGGTTTAACGAATTTTAAGCAATTTTCAAACGAGTATTGTTTAAACAGCAGAATTCGATCATGCAACCTATTCACATGTTGAATTTTGTTAACAAGATGCGACTAAACGGAAGTTGATATGGTGAATGATGTAGTACAATAAAAAAAAGTGCAGTATAATTACTTATTATATAAATATTATATACTTTCCCTTTTTCTTTCTCATTTTTGTTTTTACTAATGTTTCACCCTATATAAATTGTAGAATATCTAGTCTTGTTCATTTAACTAAATTACACATTATCGACCACAGGTATCCGTTTCGATGGCATTTCTGGATTTATTGTTCAGTAAAGATTAAACCAAAAATACATCAGTCTTGTCAAAAGAACTTTAGCAGACTCCGTTTTTCTAATACTTATTGACTGCGGTTTAATTCTCGCACTGTAATAGGCTGTAGACAGATTTTGTTAATATAATGATAGTAATCAGATGATCTGATGATTTAAGAACAGTTTCTATATGACACGGAATGAACCCGTCACCCAAATACAAAATTGCTGAAAGAGCATATACGTTCTTTCTTTTTTATTTATTTCGTGTACATAGTTTAAACCCTATCATAGAGTTAATTACGCTGAGAATGATTTCTGACTAATTTGGCCAGCGTCGTTCTTTGTTTCTTCAATGAAACCTAATTAACCATTGTTAGTAGTGAACCAAATAAATAATAATAAGAGCATCTAATGCTCGGATTGTTTGATTTGTATTTTTTTCTAGTATTAAGAACTGTTTTTGTAACAAAATGGCCAATACCTCTATGGCAACAAAAGCTGAAGATGAGACGTATCAGCTATTAGAACAATTGGATCATATTTTAAAACGTCCGGAAACATACATTGGTTCCACAAAACCAACAACAGACGTAAAAAATTGTTCGTTTTTTACTGAGCAATACAAATCTATGTTTGATTTTCTCCTTTCTAGGAGATGTGGATAGTTGATGACAGTGCTGAAGAAATTAAAATCATCAAAAAAGACGTGACATACGTACCCGGTTTATACAAAATATTTGATGAAATATTAGGTACAGTTTGATGATTGGTGAAAATTTAATTTTAATTCATTTCTATTTTTTAGTCAATGCCGCTGATAACAAACAACGTGATCCAAAAGGAATGTCTTCAATTGATATTCATATAAATGGGTAATTGTTTATTTTTGTCGTTTTTCTCTATCTTAAAAAGACAACTCTGTTTTATTTATGTAGTGATAAAAATGAGATTAAAATTTGTAATGATGGCAAAGGCGTTCCCGTGCGAAAATGGGCTAAAGACGAGACAATTTATATTCCCACATTAATATTTGGTCAGTTATTAACATCAGATAATTTCAATGATGACAAAAAACGTATCACCGGTAAGAAGAAGATGGTACGAGATAATCTAATTTTATATCACTTCTTGTTTTCTTTCGTCTAGGTGGTCGAAACGGATATGGTGCAAAAGTAACGAATATATTTAGTACAAAGTTTATTGTTGAAACATCATCGAAAGAATTTGGAAAAACATTCAAACAGGTATATATGGCGATGATCAGATAATGCTTGTTTACTTCAAGCAAAGCGTTCTTTTTAGATTTGGACAAAGAATATGCGTTCAGCTGAGGATGCACAAATTAAAGCTAGTGATAATACCAAGGAATATACAAAAATTACATTTTATCCTGATTTAAAACGATTTGGCATGGATAAATTGGATGATGATATTATTTCATTATTTAAACGTCGTGCGTATGATGTTGCAGTATCCTCAAATGTCAAAGTTTCACTAAATGGAAAAAGATTAGCGGTAGGTATAACTAACACATAGAGTCATTGATCAGTACGATAAGTGTGTATTATGCCTCTTAGTATTAAGAACTCCGAGAAATTTAACTTTTGCTCTACTGCTGCTATATGACTTTTTCCTTAGCACTGTGAGATATAATTTACTGTTGTGGGAAAAGTAGACTGGATAACGGCTTAAGTGTCGGATAAATCGAAATTTTAGCAGACCATCTCTGATTTTTGATATTGTTCGGTCGATGTGACCGTGTTAAAACATGAGGAAAGAATGGCTTGACCAAATGATAGAAAAGAATAAGACTCACAAGAAAAATTTTGGGATTAAAGTCATAGTCTTTCAGTCTTAGTATATTAGTTCTTTTTGGTGGGATAACGTTTCCAATTTGTTTTTGTCTGTTCGTAGAAATTTTGGCGAATTCTTCTTTAAACTAAACTTTGAGAACTTACCGATCACACCAAGACAAGCTACTACTAATGCTTTAGGTGAATCATCTTCTGTAATAATAAGAATTCTGCTCTAGTGTGCAGTAGTGAAGATAAAAAATAACATATTTTCAAAGGATATTATCTCTGAAAGGAAAATTACAGAAAAAAATAATTTCCAGCAAGATCTTTCCACGAATGTTTATCTCTTTAGATAAAATCGCTGAAAGATTATATCCAACTATATGTAGATTGTGAACCAAATCAAATCGTTCATAAACGGTTTAATGATCGATGGGAAGTTGGTGTTGTTAAAAATGAACAATATTCGTCTGGTCAACAACAAGTTAGTTTTGTAAATAGCATACTGACAACTGAGGGTGGAAAACACGTTGAATATGTTAGTGAACAAATAGCACCAAAATTAGTTGAAGTAATTAAAAAGAAAAATAAACAAGCCAGTGAATTAAAACCAGCCGAAGTTAAAAAACATTTATTCTTATTTGTTAATTGTCTTATTGAGAATCCAGAATTTGAATCACAAGCTAAAAAACAATTGTCAACAACAAAATCACATTTTGGTTCCAAATGTGATATTAAAGATGATGATAAGTTTATTAAAGATATTGTAAAAAATTGTGGTATTGTTGATCAAGTTATTGATTGGTTAGAAAATAAACAAACGGCTAAATTGAATAAACAAAGTGGTTCAAAAACATCAAAATTAAAAGGCATACCAAAATTAGATGATGCCAATGATGCTGGAACAAAAAATTCGAGTTATTGTACATTAATTATTACAGAAGGTGATTCAGCTAAAGCATTGGCAGTAGCTGGTCTTGGTGTTATCGGTAAGTTATCAAAGTTTAGTTCAAAGAAAAATTCAGTTTGTTTCTTTATATACTTTTAGGACGAGATCGATATGGTTGTTATCCATTACGTGGTAAAATGTTAAATGTTCGTGAAGCAGCAAATAAAAAGGTCACAGATAATAATGAAATAACACAATTATGTAAAATACTTGGTCTCAATTATAAAGAAAAGTATGAAACAAGAGCCGATTTGAATAAATTACGTTATGGAAAACTAATGATTATGGCTGATCAAGATCATGACGGAAGTCACATCAAAGGATTAGTAATTAATTTTATTCATTATAATTGGCCTAATTTATTAAAACACGATTTCATCGAAGTATTTATTACGCCAATTATAAAGGTAAGCGAGGAAAAAGTATTACGTTGAGAATAGGATCCTCAGACGTTTCTTATTTAAGAAGAACTTAAAGTGGACACAAAACCATTGTCCAGTAAATCTTTCTTTTTACGCTTTAAGCAATTATCAGATTGTGCAAAACCCTTCAGACATAGTACAGAAACTACTCGGATAGAATCTGTCGGAAGAGAAATAGATACTTCGTATGAACGCGGTTGTTATATTGTCGTATGCATCACGCATTATAATCAATTTTTTGGTACTCGCGTGCTTTGCTTATACTTTACACTTTCTATTCCAGGTGAGTAAAGGCAAAGAAGAAATATCGTTTTACTCAATGCCTGAATTTGAACAATGGCAAGAAAAAACTAAAAATTGGACTAGATATAAAATCAAATACTATAAAGGTAATAAATCTGTCAGAATATTATAAGACTTGTATTCTAAATTGTTGTTCCTTCTTTTTTTGTTCAGGTCTTGGTACATCAACGGCAAAAGAAGCAAAAGAGTACTTTTCCAATATGGATCGTCATCGTATTGCTCTTAAATATATGGGTACAAAAGATGATTTGGCAATACATTTAGCATTCAATGGTATGTTGGCTGATGATCGAAAAGATTGGATAAAATGGCATACAGAAGATGCAAAACAACGTCGAGAACAAAAATTACCAATTGATTATTTATACAAAAAAGATACAAAACAAATTAATTATACTGATTTTGTTAATAAAGAATTGATATTATTTTCAAAATCAAATACTGAACGTGCAATACCAAATATAATGGTTTGTTAAAATATGATGATGAAATACGTTAAAAGAAAAGTTAATCTTTTTCTTTTCTTGTAGGATGGTTTTAAACCTGGCCAACGTAAAATTATGTACGTTTGTTTTACAAAAAATATTATTCGTGAAATTAAAGTAGCACAATTAGGAGGAAAAGTTGCCGAATATTCTGCCTATCATCATGGTGAAATATCATTGACAAAAACAATAGTTGGTCTAGCACAGAACTTTGTGGGTTCAAATAATATCAATCTACTTGTACCAGCTGGTCAATTTGGAACACGTATCAATGGTGGTGATGATGCAGCCAGTGCACGTTATATTTTTACAAAACTAAGGTATATATTCAAAGAAGTTAATCAAGAGAGCTTGAGAAATCCTCTTCTAACATGCTCCATGGGTTCCTGTTCGATTTGAAATTGCCACTTTTACTGCAGCATTTTCTACTTAGTCAATTTGTAATGCTCTTGAGTATAAGAAGAGTTGAATAGTTATTTATTTTGTTGTCGTACGATTGAATAGTTATTTCACTTTCGTCTTAGTCCACTGGCACTTGCACTATTTAATAAAAATGATGAAGCATTATTGACCTATTTGAATGAAGACGGTATGTCAATTGAACCTGAATGGTATTGTCCACTTATACCGACAGTCTTGGTTAATGGTAAGTAATGAAAGTTCTATAGTTAAATGAATAACTAGCTGTGTTCTTCATCTTATGTTAGGAGCCACTGGAGTGGGAACTGGATATTCAACAGACGTTCTTAATTATGATCCAATGACATTAGTGAATAATATGCGATACTATATTCGTGAAGAAAAACAACGTAAAGGGATTGTTTCATCATATCCAAATACAATAACATTAAAAGAATTGATACCATCATATAAAAACTTTACCGGTGAAATTAAATTATTAGAAAACGATCGTACACGTGGTGTTATTAATGGTGTTTGTTCAAAATTAGATGACCAAACAATTGAAATAACTGATTTACCAATTGGCATATGGACACAAACATATAAAGAAAATACATTAGAACATATGTTAAATCCAAAAGATGGAACAGCACCACTAATTCTTGATTATAAAGAATATCATACAGATACAACTGTACGATTTGTTGTTAAAATGACAAAAGAAGCATTGGCCAGTTATATTCAACAAGGATTACATAAAGTGTTCAAACTACAAAAGTCATTCAAATTGACAAATATGGTACGTCTATGTAGGAAAAATATATATTCAAAAGCGAAACAAAAAAACATTCTCCATCGATTTTCACTATTTGATCAAAAATTTTGTGTGCCTGTAGAAGTTCTAAAAACGCTTAAGTGGATTCGGAAAAAGAGCCCAATGAAAAGCAAAAATTTACTATACGCTTTTGAATTGGAAGCCGATTAGTGCTAATTGTCAACTGGTCCATCTGTCAAGCATTTCTGACTTCTTCATGTGCTTCTACGTTTGTTCTCTATCGCATTATTTTTGTTCTTTAGGTTTTATTCGATCATAATAATGTATTACGTTTGTATAATAATGTCGAAGAAATATGTGAAGAATTTTTTACCACTCGTTTATACATGTATGTGAAACGTAAAGAATATATGGTGGGTTCATTGGAATCAATATGTCTGAAACTGGATAATATTGCACGATTTATTAAAGAGAAAATCGAAAATGTTATCAGTGTTGAAAATAAAAAAATTTTGAAAGTTATAGAAATGTTAGTGGAACATAAATATGATCGTGATCCAGAGAAAGTATGGCATGAAGAAGCTAAGAAAAAATTTAACATTGATATTCAACAAATAACAACATCATCATCAAATAGTGATGATGTGCTACAAGATATGCAACAAAAACAGGAAGATGAAGAGGAAGCAAATGATGCTGCGCGTTCAACAACTTCAGCAGGAGCAACTACCAATCTTGTCGATACAAAGTATTATGATTATCTTATCAATATGTCATTAAGAAATCTTACAAAAGAAAAACGAGAAGATATATTGAAAGAACAAAAAACAAAACATGATGTATTAAATACATTGAAAAATAAAACACCCGAAGATTTATATGAAGAAGATTTGAATAATTTTGAAAATGAATACAAAAAACAGATCGCTAAAGAAAAAATAGACGACATGTCGGATGTTGCACATCATACTACAAAAAAAGTGGGTGGCTTTGGTGGAGCGAAAAAACAAAAACCACAACGACAAGAAACGAAACCGGCAGCACATGGACAAAAAATAGAACCTGTCATTGATCCCACTTTGATGAAAAGATCGGAAGAAGAACAGAAGAAACGAAAACGAGAAGCAAGTTTTAAAATAAAAAAATAGAAAAGCCATTTTTTCTATCGGAGAAATCCACGATCAATGAGTAAATGGTTCTATTCAGTGTTAATTTGCTTTCTTTTTTCAGGAAAAAGCTGATTCAAGTAAACAAAAAATCATTGATGTTCTCGTCCAAGAGGGTGTTACAACCGAGCAGTTGGCAAGTTTAATCCCAGCAGCCAAGAAAAAGAAAGGAAAAGATGCAGCGACTGGCAATGGTATACCGTGTGATAAACAGTCAAGGTTAATGTATTGGTTTATATGTTGATTTTTAGAAAAGCAAATACCTAAAGAAAGAAAAGCATCTACTGAAAGTATGAATACTAGTGGAATTGGTGGAGATGAACTTGTCAAAGATCAGTCAATTGTTGATTCATTTACAAGCAAAGATGTAACACCAAAAGCGAATCCAAAACGAGCAGTCAAAGAAAAGGTTCAAAAATATACGGGTGGTTATGGTAGTGATGATTCAGAAAAACAAAACGGAATGGATATAGATAGTGGCGATGATGATATCAAATATCAGCCTAGTGAAGAGAGTGATTATGAACAACCCAAACCTAAAAAGGCAGCAAAACCAAAACCAGTTGCGGGTATGTATGCTGTGTGTGTCAGAGTGAGCGAGAGAGAAGAGTTTTTCTCCATAGTTTATCAATTATTTTTCTTTATTTTGCAGCTACATCAAATGGTACAACAGCCAAAAAAAGTGTAAGTCAATACTAACTGCATACGAATTGTAGCTCTCTATTTTTTTATCATTAAGTCACCAAACAAAAAGAATGCATCGAGTGCTGTGAAGGTGTCGTCCAATCAATCGAAGAACGATAGTGCTGCTTCGCCCGAGAAAAAACCAAAGAAACCACAGGTATGTCTTCATCGTTTACATATCATACTGGCTGCTGATGATAATGAATGTGTTTGATTTCAGCCAAAAAAAGAAACAAGTGTAATAAAAAAGGAAGGAAGTGATAAGAAACCTACAAAGGTCGCAGCTAAACGAAAAAAAACGGTATGTTATCGTATTTTGTTTGTGTTCTGTGACAGAACTTTATATATATAGTTGTACATTTTACAGATAGGTGAAAGTGATGATGATGATGACGTTGTCGATTTTGATGGCTCATACTCGCCGGAACCAAAACAAGTAAGAAATCTATTTATTAATGCAAAAAGTGTGGAATGATGGTGGAATTTGGCAAAAAACAGTTTGCCTTTTTCTTTCATAATTCTCTTGGTAGATTGAAAGAAATTGACATACTCATTTTTTTTGCTCTTTACTGAATAATATTTTTCAATTGCTTTGATGTCGTCTTTAATTTTCTTTCTAGGCTCGTATTCAAAGAGGTGGGGTGAAAAAAAATTATGTCATTGACGATGATAGCGATAATGATCTAAACGAAGACTAGAATTTATTTTTTTATTTTGAGAATCTCAAAAATACCGTTTTTCTTTGTATATATATTTTCTATTTTTTTTCTTTCTCCGTTTGAATTTAAATACTATTATTTGTATTTTTTGTCGTAAAATTAGTTTTGTAATTGAAAATTAAAAATTTATTATTTTTTTGATTTATTGTCTCATGTCAGATAATATTTGTCGAGTGTGCAGTTTCTGTTGTTTTTTTTGTTAGTAAAACTAGCATTATTTGTGTATAGCACAGCACTAGCTTTATATGCATTTAGAAAGAAAATGTATTATCAATCTACATTGTACGCTTATAATAAAGACATTGCTTCTATAATATTTGCTGAATGTGCGACTTGAAGTTAGCCATAACTTAATCAGAAGATTTGAAGCAAAATTTGAGAAACTTTACCGAATCTTTATTTAGGAAAAACAATTTAAATTGAAAGTGCTCACATATTTCTTTTGATACTTAAATTTGCAACTCTTTTGAACTTAATACTTTTAACTTCATAGGAGATACAATATGTATTTTCGTTCGAATAGATCTTTTCATCTTCTTTAGTGATTCGGAAAATAGAAATGATTAAAATATACATTAACCGAACAAATTAACATAAATAGATGATCTACACACAGAGAATACGACAGAATTGAAAATAGTGTGTGACATACCGACCATGTTAAAACTGCCTAATGAGAGCAACAATATTTTTCTAAGGTGCTCGCAATTCAAAAATGTAGCACTATCTTAACTTTCGGTCGAAAGCTACATAGTCGGATAGTCCCAACCGAGCTGATTCCGAATATCACCTTTTGATTCGAATTCGATCAAGTTTTCGAGGAGAAATTCTCAAAATACTATGAGTACCAATAGACCAAAAGATTTGCATCTCTCTGAGAAAATTTGAGATTTAGCCACGTTCCGTTCACCGTAATTTTTCGAATTTGATATATTCGGATTCATCATCAAAAACTGAGTCTAATCGTGTACCTCTAAGTCACAAAAAACAAAATATCTATGTTACACAATTTTGACAAGAGTAAGCGCTCGACAAAATGCGCTACCTCTCTCGCGAACCTATCTCCTCCCTGGTTTTGAATATTTTCGCCGATCGTCATGTGCCATTCGAATCAGCATTTAAAGGCAAACAAAAGTACGCATCGCTTTTTCAAAACGTTTTCCCCTTTAGGAGAAATTAGGAAAAGACTGAAAAAGTGCGAGATTTTCGAAAAATCCTTCAGATGATGAGTCCATAACTCAGTGATATTTCCACCTAGAGAACTGCTATTATGGTTTTCTAGGTAAAAAACAATGCTGAATACGTTAGAAATGTGTTTGAGAGGTTTGCATTCCCAAGTAGGTTTTGCAAAGAAACATAACTCTGAGAAACCTTCAAGAGCCTTTTGGAAAGCTTTTTCGTCCCAAGCGCATCATATCGACAGAGCGTCAAATTCTGAGCAAAATGAGACGTCCTCGAGCCATCTAGCACATCTCTAGGCTGAGATAAGGCCATTTTACTTTCAGAGATCCTGCTGAATCGAAATCTGTTAAGAGATTTGCTGATAACTCAGCCTAGAAAGACGCTGGAAAGCTCAGAAAGGTTATCTAGAAAACTATAATAGCCGTTCTCTAGGTGGAAATATCACTGAGTCATGGACTCATCATCTGAAGAATTTTTCGTAAATCTCGCACATTTTCAGTCTTTTCCTAATTTCTCCTAAAGGGAAAAACGAAAGATGGATGTATTTTGATTGCATTTATTATTGTTTCATAACATTGACAACAATAGGTATACATTTAACATCATAATCGACATGCACGAAAATAGCAGTGCTACCAGTGACAGTAGATTCGATTTCAATAGCAGTT